AATATTAGTGAAAAAATGAATACAGTTACTAAATATAGAGTTTTAATGTATTAATCTTAAGATAACATGTCTTCAGGTTGCTTTTCAAAAATGCGAAACGTATTTGGCAGTACTCTGAAATGTATGAGGGTGTTCTGTCTTTCAGTGCTTGAAAACCACTAAAAAATAACTTTCATTAATCCTGTACTAAATGTCTCCTCCTGGGTCTAAAACAATCCAGTTGCAACATTTTACACTTTTAGTAGTTTATCAATACACTTCTTACTAAAAACAGTATAAAGGCGATTACAGTAATCGAGGTGAGAGAAAGTAAAAGCCCGAATTTGGTTCGAAAAGTAAAAATCAGTTTCATGTCCTCTCCTGCAGGGGCGCCACAGGCGCAAGCTGGTCTCGTGAAAGCGGAAGTGCAGTGCGCTTGTGTTACAGGCAGCACGCGCAACTTCCGTCTGGTTCAAAATATTTTTGCACTCTTTTTTTTATTTGGTAAAGTAGGGCTGATCTTCTCTCCGTGGCTGCCGCGATAGTGACCCAGTATGGACATCCAGAGTAAGTTGTCGTGTTTTACACCAGTCCTGTGTAGAGACGTGCGTACATGTGGCTGTGCTAATGTGACCGGTACATTACAGCAGAAAGACATGCGTTTAATTGGCTTCATAACAACTTATACATTATCAGTATATGCGGGTATTTTATATTGAGAGTAAAATAAAATAAAAAACCTTTGAAATTGCAGTTGTTCCTAATTGTCCGTATATGTGTAGGTTTTAGAATGTAAGTTAATTCGCAAAAAGTATTAAATGTATAACTCGCTGACCCTTTTTTAATGTCTAATAACAGGTATTGAACCAATGACACTCGGATCTCCAACCTCTCCCAAGCCTGGGGCTCAGTTTTTACCTGGGTTTCTGATGGGAGACCTGCCTGCTCCTGTCACACCTCAGCCCAGGTCTTTTGGGTTGACAGGAGGTGGGTCAGAAACAAGGTCTCCTCTTGTGGCTGGTAAACACTTATTATTCTTTTACTGCATTTCGCTAAAACCATAAGGAATTATTAAGATGCCATTTTATACATAGCACAGAAGTTACTTGGTAAGACATTTGATGCTCTTCTCCATCAGGTGGGTCTCCTCCACAGCCGGTGGTCCCAACGCCT